CGATCAGCTCTACGACTTGCGCGGCCAGCCTATGCGCTCCAAGCTCATCTCTTTGCACCTCATCCACACCCTACTCAACAACAACATCGCCGTCTTCACCTCCCCGCTATGTACCATTACCAATTCGAAAAGCAACGAGCCCACGACTTTCCTGCAAGCCATCAAATTCTACCTGTGCCTTAGCATAACGCGCAACGGTGCCAGTTCCGTCGATCGCGTCTTCAACGTCTGTTGTGAGATCTTCTGGCTGATGCTCAAGTACATGAGAGAGTCGTTCAAGGTTCGTGCCAGCCGCGTCCGACTCCGCTGGACCCGAACTAACTGTGTTGCAGCTGGAAATCGCCGTCTTCTTGAACGAGATCTACCTTGCCCTCCTTGCCAGGCGCACCGCCCCCATCTCCCAAAAGGTCTACGTGGTCAACATCCTGAACCGCTTCTGCGCAGACTCCAAGGCTCTGGTGGAGACGTATCTGAACTACGACTGCGAGCGCAGCGTCGACAACATTTTCCAGACCATCATCGAGGACTTGTCCAAATTCTCTACAGCCCCTGTCGTGGTGACGCCCGTGCAAGAGCAGCAGTACGAGGAAAAGGGCGCAAGGACTGTTTCGGGAGGCGACTGGCAGTTAAGGACAATTCTGCCCCCCCCCTTGTCCGTCGCGCAAATCACGCCACAGCCCGAGCCGGAGAGTGACATCCCCAAGGAGTATGTTATGAAGCGGATAGCCTTGGACGCTTTGGTGGACTCGCTGAGGTCAATGGTTGACTGGTCTGCCGCCGTGCGGCCAGACGCGAACGGCGTCAGGCTGGACGGTGACACGAGAAACTCGGAGGATATCCGACCGTCCATTGACCCAAGCATGAGTGAGAACCCGTCTCGCTTCGAGACACCGGCACCTTCGACGCCCGTTCTCGAGGACGACCCCGCTTCTTTGGAGAAGGCCAAGGCCAGGAAGACGGCCATGAACAACGCCATCAAGCAGTTCAACTTCAAGCCCAAGAGAGGTATCAAGCTCCTGTTGCAAGAAGGCTTCATCCCCAGCGAGAGTCCTCAGGATATTGCAAGGTTCCTACTTACCGAGGATCGCCTGGACAAGGCACAGATCGGCGAGTACTTGGGTGAAGGCGACCCCAAGAACATCGAGATCATGCATGCTTTCGTCGATGCCATGGACTTCACCAAAAAGCGCTTCGTCGACGCGCTACGCACGTTTCTCCAGTCTTTCCGCCTTCCTGGAGAGGCGCAAAAGATCGATCGTTACATGTTGAAATTCGCCGAACGCTACGTCATGGGCAACCCCAACGCATTCGCCAACGCTGATACGGCTTACGTCTTGGCCTACTCTGTCATCATGCTCAACACCGATTTGCACAGTAGCAAAATTGCGAAGCGGATGAGCAAGGAGGAGTTCATCAAGAACAACCGCGGTATTAACGACAATGCTGATTTGCCTGACGAGTACTTGTTGGCCATCTACGACGAGATCGCCAGCAACGAGATCGTTCTCAAGAGTGAACGAGAAGCCGCCGCAGCTGCAGGTGTCGCCCCGCCAACATCGACAGGAATCGCAGCAGGCTTGGGACAGGCCTTATCAAACATGGGTCGCGATCTTCAACGAGAGGCCTATCTCCAGCAGTCCGAGGAAATCGCCTTGCGCTCCGAGCAGCTCTTCAAGACGCTGTACAAGAACCAAAGGAAGAACGCGCAACGATCCGGCGTCAGGTTCGTCCCGGCCACGTCCTTCCAGCACATTGGCCCCATGTTCGACGTCACATGGATGTCGTACTTTTCCGCGTTGTCAAGCCAGATGCAAAAAACCCAGAATCTTGATATCAACAAGCTGTGCCTCGAGGGCATGAAGCTAGCGACCAAGATCGCCTGCGTCTTTGACCTATCCACTGCCCGAGAAGCCTTCGTTTCCGCGCTGAAGAACACGACAAACCTGAACAACCCCCAGGAGATGTTGGCGAAGAACGTGGAGGCGCTCAAGGTCATTCTTGAACTGGGCCAGACCGAGGGCAATGTCCTAAGATCGTCGTGGAAGGATGTCCTCATGTGCATCAGCCAACTCGACCGGCTGCAGCTAATCACCGGCGGCGTGGACGAGAGCGTTGTTCCCGACGTGTCTAAAGCACGCTTCATGCCTCCGCAGCGGGAGAACACAAACGACTCCAAATCGTCGACACAGTCGAAGAGGAAGAGCAACCGGCCGAGGTCCGGAACGGCGCCACAAGGGTTTTCCAACGAAATCGCTTTGGAGAGCCGCTCTGATGAAGTGATCAAGGCCGTCGACAGGATCTTCACCAACTCGGGCAACCTCAACGGAGAGGCCATCGTCCACTTTGCCCGGGCTCTGACCGAAGTCAGCTGGGACGAGATCAAGGTTTCCGGGTCCAACGACTCGCCACGGACGTACAGCCTACAGAAGATTGTTGAGATTGCCTACTACAACATGACGCGTGTGCGTTTCGAGTGGAGCAACATCTGGGAGGTGTTCGGCGACCACTTCAACCGGGTGGGTTGCCACAACAACATCACAATCGTCTTCTTTGCCTTGGACTCGCTCCGGCAGTTGTCGATGCGGTTCATGGAGTTTGAGGAGCTGGCTGGTTTCAAATTCCAAAAGGACTTCTTGAAGCCCTTTGAACACGTGTTGGCAAACTCTCAAAATATTGCCGTCAAGGACATGGTCCTGCGCTGCTTGATTCAGATGATCCAAGCGAGAGGCGACAACATCCGCTCGGGCTGGAGGACAATGTTTGGCGTCTTTACCGTGGCCGCCCGCGAGGCGAACGAAAGCATTGTCAACCTCGCCTTCGAGAACGTGACACAGGTCTACAAGACCAAGTTCGGCGTCGTCATCTCGCAAGGCGCCTTCACGGACCTCATCGTCTGTCTTACCGAGTTTTCCAAGAACATGAAGTTCCAGAAAAAGAGCCTGCAGGCCCTCGAGAGTCTGAAGTCCATCATACCCCGGATGCTCAAGACACCCGAGTGCCCTCTCTCGCAGAAGAACCACAGCGCGTCTGGGGAGCACGCTGCCTCAGCCGCAGACACGCTGCAAAGATCACAGAACCGGACCACGGTGGAAGAGGGATACTGGTTCCCGGTTCTGTTTGCGTTCCACGATGTCCTGATGACGGGCGAGGACCTCGAGGTGCGTTCTAATGCACTCGAGTACTTCTTTGAGGCTCTCCTGAGATACGGCGGGGAGTTCCCGCCCGACTTTTGGGACATTCTGTGGCGCCAACAGCTGTATCCCATCTTCATGGTCCTGCGATCCAGGCCTGACTTGAACAACGCGCTCAACCACGAAGAGCTGTCTGTTTGGCTATCCACCACCATGATCCAGGCACTGCGCAATATGATTACCTTGTTCACGCACTACTTTGACGCACTGGAGTACATGCTGGACCGTTTCTTGGAGCTGCTGGCCCTCTGCATCTGTCAGGAGAACGACACCATCTCTAGGATCGGCAGCAACTGCCTGCAGCAGCTCATCCTGAAGAACGTCACAAAGTTCACGCCGGACCACTGGTCCAAGGTTGTGGGAGCTTTCTGCGAGCTGTTCGCTCGCACAACAGCCCACCAGCTCTTCTCCGCCACCACGATCAACTCAACGGCCTCCATTGACATGCCGCCGAACGGATTGGATTTTGCCGCCCCACTGAGTCCTACAGAGACGCCCACTGAAGAAGAGTCGCTGCAGGTTAACGGGTTGGGAAAGAACGGCGGCAACACCGACACCAGCTCGACTGATGCCCACGTCAGCGCCATTAACGATGACGACCTGAAGACCCCGACAGCGCCGGTTGCTCCCCGGCTCCAAGCCCAGTCCCAAGCGCCGCTGGAGGAGTTCAAGCCGACATCGAACCTGCAGCAGCAGCCGGTCGTCGTCACAGCTGCTCGCCGCCGTTACTTCAACCGTATCATTTCGCGATGTGTTTTGCAGCTGCTCATGATCGAGACGGTCAACGAGCTGTTCAGCAACGATACTGTGTACAACCAGATCCCAACAACGGAGCTTCTCCGTCTCATGGCGCTGCTCAAGAGGTCGTACCTCTTTGCCAGGAAGTTCAACGCCGACAAGGAGCTGCGCATGCGTCTCTGGCGCGAGGGTTTCATGAAGCAAGCACCCAATCTGCTCAAGCAGGAGAGCGGGGCGGCCGCTACGTACGTCGCTATCCTCTTCCGCATGTATGCCGACGACAGCCACGAGCGTACGGCTGCGCGTGACGCCATCGAGCAGGCGCTGGTGCCGCTGTGCAAGAGCATCATCAAGGACTTTGTCGCCCTTGAGGAGGACAGCCAGCACCGCAACATCGTCGCCTGGCGGCCGGTGGTGGTCGACGTCCTCGAGGGGTACGCCGCGTTCCCCGTGGAGGCGTTCCAGAAGCATATCAAGGAGTTTTACGTCATGGCCGTCGAGCTTCTCGGCAAAGACGTCACGTCGGAGCTCAGGGTAGCGCTCTTGCTGGTCCTCAGGCGCGTCGGCGAGGTCGGGCTCGGTATCGAGGGCATGACCACCAAGGTGCGAGCGGACCGGAGGGATAGCATCCTCAGCAGCGTAACAGATAACACGGCCGTAGACGGACCCGAGGGCGACGCTTCGAGCAGAATGCGGCGCTGAGCCAGTTCCCAGGGGGAAAAAAAGGGAAGGGCCGCGATGCGCACGTTGGGGCTATGGCGTAAAGGATTAAAGATTGTAAAGGCGGGGCGGGGATCATCTTTCTTTGTTTTCATGTAAAACCATTGAACCGGGCTCGGAATAATGGCCGATGCCCCATGGAAGTTTGTTGTGTCTATATTCAAGCATCTTATTCACAGTGTCTCATTGGCGCCCCAGCTCGTCGGGGGGAGGGGGAGGGGCGAATATTACCTGTAGCTATACATATACATGCCCATGCTTGCTCGTCTGCGTTCGAGAAGAGAAGCGTTGTTTTCCTATCCTTGAAACGCCCGTGCCTAATTTTGCTTTAAACAGAACCCACCCCCGGTCTCATGCCATGACGTCTCTGACAAAGGTGCGCAGGGCGTCCGACTCCTCCGGCACCGTCCGGTCGTGCAAGGTCAAGAGGGCCGTCCTCAGCGTGTCGTCATCCGCGACGGCCTGCCTCACGACGTCTTTTAGAATGCCCATGGTGCGGTGGGAGTGGTCAACGACGCGCATGACGCTGAGCAGGGTCTCGAAGAAGTCGACGAGGTTGAGGTGCATGAGGGTGTCGGTCTTGTCGACCATGTGCAGGGCGGCGAGCTGGAGAAGGCCGGTGTCGGCGGAGCCGGTGAGGTCGGGGAACGGGGAGGTGGCGACCTCGACGATGTTAAGTGCGGCAAGGCGCGGGAGGATGCGGAGGACGCGGCCCTGGGCGAGGGAGAGCTGGTGGGCCGACAGGTCGGCGGGGTCGGCGGCGGGGTCGGAGTCACGGCCGCGGGCAGGGGCTCTTCTGTAGTCGCCCTAACTTACGGGCAACTTACGGTTGACAAGAACAAACAGGCCCTCACCCCCGTGGGTGTTATTAGAGGGAACTCCTGTTGGGTATTGTCTTAATCTCCCAATTAGGTTAAGCTACTCTTCGAGACACAAGAAACAGCGATCGTTGGATAGGCGCGCTTTTCTTGTGCCAGTCTAGGCCATAAGACTCTCTAGTAACCGCGGGGATCCCATATGGGCCCTGATCCTCTGTGTGTCGCACACACAACAGGCTAGTTCACAGCTGTCAAAGAGATATGGTGCGTACGCAGACTCCCTCCTCCAGCCCTTCAGAAAGAACGGGTGCTTTTTGGATACCTGCATCCTACCCGGTATGCTTCATGCGCAGTGGTTTATCGGGCCGAGTTAGTGGAAAACCTTTGGTCGAGACTAGGCGATCTTCCTGGACGAATAAGGCTGTGATTCCAATACTGGGAAAAGTACCGGTGACTGGCTACTGACGACGGTCAAACCGCTGCGCGGTCTTCCCTTAACCACTATGGTCTTCAGTCAGTTCCCCCTCGTACTCAGTAGTAGACGCACAAGCATGTGTCAAGAACATATTGGTGAAATTGAGTACGCCGGTTAAACAGGAAGATGCGGCGCCACATACTGCCCTGTCCCGGGGCGCGGCGTCTGGCGAGCTCGCGGCCGGGCAAGCCCGGTGTGCGGTGGCGGGGGGTGGGGGGAGCTCGCAGTCGACGTCGAGGAGGTCGCCGAGGACGCGGGTGGCCCTTTCGCCGACCTCGACTTGCGGGGCGGAGAGCCAGCGGCGGAGGAGGTCTTCGATGACGCGAGGCATGAGGGAGAGGATGGCGGCGTCGGAGGGGGCGGCGGCGGCCTTGGCAAGGAGGGCGAGGGCGAGGAGGTTAGCGGAGGGGCTCGGAGAGCGGAGGGCGACGATGAGGGAGGACTCGTCGGCCAGCTGGAGGACCTGAGTGAAGGGGACGGGGCCGAGGAGCTTGATGGTGAGGGAGACGACGGGGGAGGGGTCGTGGGGCGTCGTCTTGAGGATCGCGGTGAGGTTCGGGAGGAGGACGGGGAGGAGGGGCGGGATGTTTGTTTCTGAGACGCGTGCTGTTAGTTCGACTCTGTTTCTTGGGGAGAAGAAGGAGGAACGGTGGGAGGGAGGGAGACGAACCGTTCAGCTGGAGCTCTACATCGTCGAGGAGTTTCGGGTTGAGGGGCGTCTCGGGCGCGGATACGAGCTCGTCGAGGTGCTTCTTGAGCTCCTCGAGCCCGGAGACCGGGACAGTGTGGTCGGCGGACATTTCCGGGACGACCTTGTCTGTCATAGGGGGTGCAATTTTACAAGGCAAAGGGGCAGTCAGAGGTGAGAGAAGAAGTCGTGGGAAGTGTGTTGCTTTGCGACGTGGGAAGCTATTAGTGATCGACCGAATGTAGATGTTGGTGGAGAGAGAGCTCTCGATGTCAAGGTCCCCCGGCCGCTAAGATAAGATAAAAGCAAATGGGAAGGCGCCTACCTAGGTTCCTACCAGGCAGCTAAGGAGCGTACGTGCTGGGGTACGCGGGCTGAGCTGCTTGACAGCGCCGGCAGGCAGGCGGGGGATTCCGAGGAAGTGCGCTGGAAGGGCGGGGCGGGGAGGAGGGGTGGAATAGTGGTCGCTTGCCAGTGCGGAATTGACCCCGCCGATGGCACCGACCAAAAACTGTTGCTGCTGCAGGTTGACTTGTGACTGACACCTCGGTTTTTTTTTTTTTTTTTTGTCTGTTCGGGTTTTCCCATAAACGAAAGGCAGACTCCAAACTCCAATTCGACTCACACCTACTCACACCACCCTTCCCTTCCCCTGTGACGCATCCGTTTCTCACCGACTCGCGGACAACAAATACCAATTCCTGGCCGAGGCCCCCAGAACCCGTAGAGCAATCGGCAATCACCACCGCGCGCCACATAGGCAGATAAGACACACAGACAGACGCTCAGCGAACCCAAATGTCGCGAGGAGGACGAGGCGGTGGCCGTGGTGGCCGTGGCGGGCGCCAGGGACCGCAGCTATCGTGGGACAACGGCGAACACGCCCCCGACACGCGGCCCTCGGAGCTATTCCCTGTGCGTAATCCCCCCTCTCCCTTCTCGTCAGAGTTAACGGTACAAGAACCTACCCTCTTTCTGACTCTCGTGACCCCCCGCAGGCCTATGCAGTCCCGACGGCGAAGCCCCTCTCCGACCTCGAGCGCGCCAACGTCAACGCCTTCCTCCTCTTCCGCCGCCAGTTCCAGGACGGGCCCCTCTACACCCGCAAGCGCACCTGGGGCATGGACCCGGGCAACACGCGCAAGCTGTACGGCCAGGACCAGGTTAACGCAAAGTACGGCGTGCGCACCCGCGGCACCGCCGACCCCTTCACCGCCGTGCCCACCTACTCGCAAAAGTTCTCCCGCCCCGAGCGCGCCCTTCCCGACCTCGCCGCGCGCCCCTTCTGCAAGGAGTTCTTCCCCCAGGAGCTGCACGAGGCCCTCGACGGCGACGACGTAGGCCCCGGCGAGCGCCGCCGCGGAGGTGACGCCAAGCGCCTGCGCCTGAGCCGGATCACCGCCCTGCCGACCGCCGAGGACGTGTTCCACCTCAACGACGACGCCGACGACGACGTTGGCGGCCCCGAGGGCGCCTGGAAGAAGCTCGAGGCCCTCGAGAGAATGGGCGAGGGCGCCGAGGGGGCCGAGGGCGGCGCCGGCGGTATTGGTGGCGGCGGCGCCGGCGAGGACGAGTGGGAGGGCGGCGAGGAGGAGGAGCAGGACGTCGAGTACGACGACTCGGACGCCGGCGACTACGACGCCGAGAACTACTTTGACGACGGCGAGTACGGTGATGACGATGGCGGCGACGACGACCACGGCGGCCGCGAGGGGTCGTACTGAACCCGGTTTGTACGTTCATGGCGGGGAGGGGGGGGGTCGAAAGGAATTGAATGGCGACGAGTGGGATCAGCAAAAAAGAAGGAAAATGAAAAAGGAAAAGGAAAAACAGTAAATATCATGCGAAGGGACATTGATTGAAACAAAGGCGGATGGATCCGCGCTCGAAGAGGGGAGGGGAGGAGACACTGGGAGCAACATCCCACTCCCTCCCTCCCTCCAGTAAACGACTGACGAAAGAAGACACAAATGAGGCGATCGCATCACCGGGCGTTGGGCGGGATGAATGACTTTGCTGAGCGGGATTATAGGCTCTCAGATACCCCAGCGATACCTCTCTCCAGGGAGAAAGGGTAGAAAACAATTCACAATTCATAATTACACCCGCACAGCGCATTTTTCACGTTTTGACTCGACGTTTTTTTCTGGGGGGCGTGGTGATGAAAGTCAGGGTCTCTCCCTCCCTTGACAATCGGGTATCAACGGCCTCGGCCGCCTCGCTCTAGATAGATGGGTTATTCTACAATCGCGGCAAAAGCTACCTTGCCTGCATCCAACGACGCCCCGTCCATCCAGCCTCGGCCGAGGCGGGTCGTGTCCGAGACACGCTGGCGCACCGCCTCGAGGGCGTCTTCCGCATCGATACCCGAATCCTGGCCGTGGGAATCGGCCATTATGGGCTCCCGGGGGCAGGAAGCTAATGTCCATAGTTTGCGCACATCCTGACATGCAAGGAGCCAAGGCCAAACGATTATGGGGTTGTTTCAGGCTGGACACTCTTCCGATGCGTCGTCGTCTTGCCAATGCTGCCGGTATATACTCTCTTGTTTTTTGCCGAAACCTGAACGCTGTTTGCTCCCCAGACTCGTTTGCTGGACCGAACCAAATCCACCCCCCCCACCATTCGAGGATCGACATTATGTCCTGTTTCCGCTTCGATGTCTCATTTTGTCGGGTATTGACGCTGAAGCTTGGTCAGTTTTTCGCGGACATCGACAATGGCATCGGCCGCCTCGTAGATCTTGTCGCCCATCATCTTGATCGTCTCCAGCAGGTCGAGGACCATGTTGAAGGCCGGCAGCTGCGTCTGGTCCCTCAGGGCCCTCACGCGCTCATACAGACCGTGCTCGACCCCGGGCATGTGCTGCTCCATCTCCTTGATCTTCTGCACCTGGAACTGGTGCAGCTCCTTGAGGCGGTCGGCCTCGTTGGAGAAGAGCGTGAGCACGTCCTCGACGTTGCGGTCCTGGCTGCCGTTGGTCGTGTTGTTCCCGGACCCGCCCCTCGTGAGCCAGGTCTGGTGGTAGTGTGCGGGCAGCTTGAGCTGGTCGGCGCCCGCGAATGCCATCTTGGCGATGTCGGCGTCCGACTTGACCAGGTCCTTGAGGTGCGCCATGGTGACAATATCCTCGTCCAGCGTCGTCTTGACACCCTCGTACTTGCGCTGCAGCCAGTTGACATCGGTCGTCAGTTGCTCGAGGTCGCCGCCGTGCGCGGCCATGAACCCTCGAATCTCGGATGCGTGCGCCATGAACCGCTGGATCATCATGTCGCAGTTCTCCATCTCGGTCTGGATCGACTGCTCGAGGTCGTTGAACCGCGTCGTGCCCTTGATGTTTGACACGTCCACACGCACGCCGGGGACCGTCTGTTGAGTCGTCGACTGGCCCATTGTCAAGCCCGGAGCGGAGCTGTTGTTGCCTGCTTGAGATTGGCCGCTGCTTTGGTTAGCTGGTTATTTGTACACCAATCATCCGCAAAAGTCTACTCACAAAAGACCGCCCGGCTTAGATTGGTTCTGAGCCTGGCTCTGGCCAAAGAGGCCGCCGCCCGCGCCCTGGTTCTGCTGAGGTTGCGTGTTGCCGCCACCAAAGAGTCCTCCGCTAGGTTGCTGCTGCTGTTGTTGTTGTTGTGGCTGGGTCGAGCTCTGGCCAAAGAGACCGCCGGTGGCCGGCTTCTGCTGGGATGCACCAAACAAGCCTCCACCCTGCTGCTGCTGAGGCTGAGCCGATCCAAAGAGCCCTCCGCTTTGCTGTTGCTGAGGCTGTTGCTGCTGTTGTTGAGGCTGGGCTGAGCCGAAGAGACCGCCGCCACCGGACTGCTGAGGTTGGGAGGGTGTTGCAGATTGGGACTGGCCAAAAAGACCACCAGTCGCTGGTGCGGCCGGCTTGTTGCCAAAGAGACCTCCCCCGCCCGTCTGGGTACCGCCGAAAAGGCCACCGCTCGCAGCAGGCTGCGTCGACGCCGCCGCGTTTCCGAACAGACCACCTGCTGCGGGTGTCGAAGAGGAGCCGGCACTAAACAAGAAACTCGGGTGTCAGATAAGACATTGAAAATAGTGGCATGGAGAATGCAGGGCCGTTTAGCTTACGCAGAATTGGCAGCACCAGTGTTGATGCTCAAACCACCACCGGTGGCGCTTGCGGATCGTCCAAACATGTTTATCTTCTGCCCGAGTCCGTCGAGATCGGTCGGTCCGGGGGGGTTTGTGACGGGTACAGGCGAAAGTGTCCTCGAGGACTTTCTCCTTGTTGCAGCAAGATTCGGTTGACGGTCAATGTAGTTTGAAGTATTTGTTGTTCTTGGCCGCTGCTGCTGCTGCTGCTGCGGCTGCGGCTGCGGCTGCGCGGTGAACGCGAAAGAATTGGCGCCGGGCACAGTACCACCGCACGGACCACTCGCAGCTTGCAGAGCTCCTCCTGCTGTTCCTGCCTGCAAAGAATGCGACTGGCGCTGATTGGCTGGTCGGGCCGCTATTCCACCGCTCCCCGGGACCCACCATACAGCCGGCTGACCCCACTGCTGATTGGCCAATACCCTCGACTGCTGACGGCCCGGGCGACCGTTCCTGACGCCTGGCCGCGCCTGTGATCTGGAACCACTGACGGAGCTTCGAGCTCCTGCCGTTGATGCACCCGCACCTACACCTGGGAAATCGAAGCAACCTGCAAAAGTTGCCGTAACATCACCTCTGCTACCACCACCACCACCACCAAACCCTCTAGACGACAACATCGCACACCCGTAGTCCACGATGGATATCGACGAGGACGACGACTTTTACGGCACTGAAGAGCCCGTGGTTGAAACAACAGCAGCACCACCACCAGCAAATTCGACAACAGAAAACGCGGCCCCGGAGAGCAACTCACCCAAACAAGATTCCAAGTCGGAGGAGCTAGAGGAAGGCGAGGAGGAAGATGAGGGTGGCTCCATGGATGAAGATGAGGACGACTCGGTGGGTGTTTTTATTTCCATCAATCGCTTAGTCCAGCTTCATTAGGTGGTTTAGCATCAAGTGACTGACGATTCTCGCGCGTTCTAGGATATCGAAATAGTCACTGAGCGCAAAGACGGCACAAAGGCAGCACCTCCAACGTATGTCGCAGCTTCCCACCACCCAAAACAGCCGCCCAGTTCTCATGTTCTGATATCAAAAACAGACAGTCACGCTACAGCGACATCCGAAACATCCCACAAAGGTCGGCTTCGAATGACATGACCGTCAAAGCCGCCCCGCCCAAGAAGGAGGAAGATTCTGCGAGAGCCTCGCCCTCTGACCTTCCATCGGGCATCCCAAGTGCCGACAAGGCCGCCGCTGCAGCCTCCAAGTCCACCATCGACGTCAACGCGAATCCCGATTACCCCCCCGTCGGCAAGCCCATTACCGCCGTCAACATCGACGAAGGTATGATCACCCCGTTCCCTTGCCATGAGATGTCGTATCGCTAACTTGTGTGAAGATCTGACCGAGAACGATAAGCCGTGGCGTAAACCCGGTACCGACATCAGCGACTACTTCAACTACGGCTTTGATGAGTTCACCTGGGCGCTCTATGCCGCCAAGCAGGAGGCCATCCGCGGAGAGTTTAGCGGCGACGTAATCGCTGCCGGTCAAAAGAAGATGATGGAGGACTTCGGTATGATGATGATGGGCGGTATGAACCCCGCTGCCGCCAGTGCGCCGGCCGCAGGCATGCCCGGCATGGCTGGCGGTGGCATGGATGGCATGCCGCCCGAAATGCAGGCCATGATGCAGCAGATGATGGGCCAAGGGATGGACCCCAGCCAGATGGACCCCTCGGCCATGTCGGCCATGTTCAGCGGCATGCAAGGACAGGCAAACCCGGGGGGTCAGGGCCAGAATTTCAACCAGGGCTTTGGTGCAAACCAGGGACAGTACGGCGGCTATGACCAGCAGCAGGCAATGGGTGGCGGCGGTAACCGCGGTGGCTTCGGTGGCAGAGGCCGTGGCGGACGCCGTCAGTGGTGAGGCCGCCGCCGAGGACTCTGCACTCATCCATCTTTGCAATGATGCGCTGGTTATGATCCCGGCCTGGCTGGCGTTTTAAGGATTTCGGTGGTGACGTCACAACATGGTTTGCTTTGGGGTTTCCGGATTTGGGCTACGGAACTGGCACAAATAGGCATAGAGATACCCTGACAATTGCTCTGGCATTTCTCCCAACTATTGCAACTGTCTTGAGTGACGATGACGAAGAGCCTCGTTCTGCTGGACATCTGACCGGAACATACCTAACTCGTGTATTGATTGGCCCAGAGAGACGCTGAAATATTTATGGGCTGAATGGTGTCAACCACCACGCCTGAAGACTCCAGTTCTAATCTTCAAACCACAATTCAATCTTCCCGGTTTGTTTATCAAGTGTGCTATTCGCTTTGTTCCAATGGCCTTTGCCGGCAGTTGCCATGTTCACTCGTTCAGCTTCGTTGAAATCATACCCAATAACACTTTCCAAGTAGTCGCTATAGCCAGGCCAGCTGTGCTCCCTAGCCCACGCCTGTATCGCGCCAAGATCCCTGCACTTTTGGTCGTGGCCATGTCTGTTGAAGGAGACGAACTCATCCGAGCCAGAGAGTGAGATGTCGGCGTTGCACATGAGATCGTTTCTGATGTGGTCCAGACAATGCATTGTATGGATATCATTTCGTGGCCACTGGTCGAGCGTGAAGTTCGAGATCAACCGGTTGCGAATGCGATACTGGCCGGTTTAGTATCACAGCGACCCCCTCAATGCACTTCTGAGCACTTACCAAGCAGTGAAGCGAGTGAAATACGTTGATTTGATATAACCTCAGGTGAGGTTCGTGGGGGTGATCCACGGTTGATGGCAGGTTAACCCGCTGGGCCCAACCCCCATCCACCGCAACTATGCCGTCCGCTGAGAAGGAAAAATGTAAGTGTTTTGGCATACATGGATAAAATTGAAAGTCAACATACCCTTCCGCAAATCATGCCAAAATCGATCGGCTTCAGGCGACGGGTCTGCGGCGTCGACAATGTCGTAGGCTTTGTCGGTAGCATTGTACTGCTCGAGCGCAAAGTCTACGAGACGTGGTCAAATGAGCAACGAATGTTCGTCTTTTCGCAACTGATGCCCTTTGGGAAGACACTTACAACCATGGGGATCCATATCTTTAGGATTTCTCTCATCCGCACGGAAGGAATGGAAGACTAGGCCACCAAAAACCAGGAGCAGAAGCTGAAGACCGCCAAACATCATGACAAGCCTGAGACCCGAGAAGTGCATGCGTGATGTGTCTTTGACAATCTTACCTTCGCAGCGATGACAGATCTGACTGTGGTCCGTCCCGCTCGTATCACCATCGGCAGATAGAAGCTTGACGCTCGAGCAGGACGAGTCCGACTCCATGATAAGCTGTAGTAATCAACACTCAAAGATGTCTGTGTGCGTTTGTGTTGTGTACTGTATTTGCAATTTGGATGATGATCCAACTGGTTCCTTGAGGTTTGAGACTTCACAGAATTAGATGCAGCGCAAGCTTTGCGAGCGCAGAGCGAGGCAGACCGTGGTCCACGTCAGGTTCAGAGCCGCACTTTTCCCCATCTGTTGTTTACGGGACATGACTCCACTGTCGTGGACTTTCTACATTATTGTATGCAAGGTTAAACAGGCAGCTCAGCTTCTTGTTTGCTTCAAACTACATGGACGGCGCATGAATGAGCGGTTGGAACCCACCCACGGCTCTGCGTTAGGCATGGATTGGTTTCTAACCAATGTAAGTCTCGCCTAACATATTCACCAGATAAGTCCCATGCCTTCAGCTGTATCTTGATGGGGGCTTTACAAGGAACGTTAGGCTTTCCACATCATAAACCTCGAGATATGGTCTTGGCCCGACAGAATGGTTCTAGGCGACAAACATTTTCTGGCGAAGGCCAATCAAGATGTTCTTCTGGAAGGCCCAATCACAGGGATATCACAGCTTTCACCGCTACTTGAAGATAGCACTTTGTGCTGCGAATGCTGGGCTGGTTATTTGTCGCGCAACTCGACAGGGTAAGCTGTCCCGACTACCAGTGAAATGATACGCCGAAACACCATAGTATTCCTTGGTGAGGCTCATTGGACACCAAGCTTACCTCTCGTAGCCATTTACAGTCAAAGTGCCATGGAAATCCCCACAGAAACGTTGAGATTTGTTGTTGAGATCGATGAGTGAATCTGAAATACCTCGTTTTTCTGTCGTGAAGATCATATCTCGATAAATCATGGTGCCTGAGTCGGCCTGACTTTGCCAGGCTTCTCGTTTCTTCTAGTCGTCCCACCGAGAACACTGCTTACACCCCATTGGAAGATCACGAGAGAGGCCCAGACACCCGCGAAGGGTCCCTCGACCGGAAGCATAATCGCAGGACATGGCTGGGTCCGGCTGTCGTCCAGCTTTATATGACACATCTTAATCGACCAACGGCTGACCTGATGGACAGATATCGGACACCTGGAAGAGATTCGCGGGCCCGTGATGTTCAAAGAACCTGAAAGTATGACGCGATCTCCTGCCCTCGATGTAGCTTGGGGCAAGTGGATCGACGAACGTTGGCATAATCACCCCCGTTGTTCCGTGTATGTCTATAAACAGAGGTTAAAAGACTTAGATCATTTCATGCTCGTCCTAGATGAAGGCATCCCAAATCCAGGCTTCAGTCCTAAGTAGCCGTTGAGAGGCTCAGCTGGAAATCGGACTGGGACACTCGCCGTATTTGAGTACGTCCACGCTCTACATTGTGTTGTAAGACCTACCGGCATCTATCAGCATGAGAAAATCAGCAAACCAAGAAGGCATCCTAAGCATCTCTATGGAAGCAGACTTATCCCGAGTACTACAAAGTGGGCCATCGGAAGATGCAAGACAGCCCAGCGTTGCAGCATGCGCACATAGGTATGACGAGCCTTCAACAACAAATGCATCGTCGCTGGCGGCTTTACAGATCACTGCGCGGACTCTATGCGTCAAGTCATCCTCTGCAATGCCAACTTCGCGGTAAACACGTCCTGCTGCAACGAGAGCCGCGGCGGCGTCGACGTGGATATCGCGTCTTCGCATACTTGTATCAACTTGAATACACACATATCCAGCTTCTCAAAATCGCCCTAGCCAGTTAGACCAATGTGTGGTAATGGACTGATGCAACGAGCTTTATCGCTACTTTAACAGCCACAGTCAGTCCGCCAGCGACGAAAAGAGATCCTAGAACGAAGTAAACGAAGCAAGCCAGGTCAAGCGGCCGCTCGTAGAACCGCAGCTGCGCGATCTTGCCGAGTCTATCCTCCTTTTTCGTGAGGGTTCCGTCAGGCACATGCTTGAACTCCATCTTGGTTCCGCCCCCGAGGCCGCCCTGGCTCTGAATGATGGCCTTGTGGAGCATCTCTCTGTTGTAGTCGACAACCTTCTCATCGAACCGTGGGAACCACCGCTGCGCCATCGCGAGGGTCCGCACCAGCCAGCAAAAGCCCCGGAAGCAGGCGTAATGGTACACGCCCGGCCGCCCCATGCCAAGCTGGTCGCAGAGTGCGTCGCCGTTGAGCACCCTGCTGCCGGCCTCGATGAACCCGGCCGAGAGATTCACCGGCGGCACGTCGCGCACCGTCTCCACAAAGTTGTGGCCGGCCACGAGTGACATGTCCGTTACAAGACGCTCGTTGAAGCTCATGCTGTCCATCAGAATCTTCGCCTTCGCTGCCGACGTGAAATGGTCCGTCGGCGTGCCGAGCACGTGGCCAAGGTACCGCCACAGCGCGACGTAGTCTTCGATTTCTTGTTGAGGCACGGATATGCCCATGAGGGGCAACTGAATGAAGGCATGGTTGCAGCAGAATGTCGTCAGGGCGTGTAACGAGTCCAGCGTGTTGATGGGGACGCCATACGCCTCGACGTCGTAATACGATGGGCCTTTGTGCTGGACGATCTTGAGGATGCGCTGACGTACCATGCAGTGCAGGAGACGCACACGGACGGCCGTTGTGTGCCCACGGCCCCCAGGTTGAACGTATTCGAGGCTGTCAGTGACCTCGAGGAGCATCTGGAAGGTCTCAAGGAGCCTCCGGAAGAGCACGCTGGTCCTGAAGCCGCCGGTGCGCACCAGGACCTCGACGACGCCTCCGGACGCCGAGTTCTCGCCAACGAAGCCCTGCAGGGCGAAGCCCATCAGGTTCGCCAGCGCATAACGGTAGAAGAACTTCTGGCCGCGCGCAATTTGCTCCCAGTCGACCCAATCCGGGACGGTATACACCTCATCCCACAGCTGGCCCAGTGCTTCATCTTTTTCGTGGTGTTCTTGGAGGACGGCGAACAGGTCAAGCTTGAACAGGTGTTCCGCATTGCCTGATTTCTCGATGAGGGCCTGTTGATGGATCTCCTGGATTCTGGCGACTGCTGCCGCGCCGACCTTGTCGTAAGTTTGCCGTAGGTGCTCGGTCTTGTCCTTGGGGATGTGGTCTTCGGTCCAGCGGAAAGAGTAATTCCACACAACACGCACATCGTCGCTTGGCCTGGCAAAAGAGAAAACGCCCATCCTGACGGTTTCCGCAGTAAGCGTTCTTGTGAACTTGCATTCTTCAGAAGAAACAGAACAGCTGTTAGCGTGCATCCTAAGTATTACTCCACAGAGGGTAATATTTTAGTCTGGCACATCTCTGTACGGACCAATCAACCAGCGCCAAGCGAGCTAGCCATGCATCACAAACCTAGGTATAGCAGTCCCTGCTCGTATGTGATCGCCAATATCTAGAAATAGCAATATGTGTTGGTATGTGTCATGGTCACATGGACTTCCAGTTTCGTCAACCATCCTCGAGACCCGTATCTAGAGATAGAGATATATAGTTGTGTCATGGTTATCATGTACTTCCAGTTTTGTCAACCATCCTTTAGACGCTCGCGGTCCTCAATGAATTGGTTGTCGAGATGGCTGCTCGGACAGTTGTCGTGTTCCCTGACATGTTGAGGTGCTTCCTGGTCCAGGAGCCCAGGGTAAATTGAAACTACAGGACAGCCAAATTGGCATCAGAAAGATGGCTTACAGAGTACGTGGACGAAACCTTTGTGTCCGCTTTCCAGCAGTGGTAATGGTGGTGATGACTGATGGTTCGGAACCAGAAAGTGCTCCTCTCCCCCGAAAATGCAGAAGATAGTCAACGCCTGCGACTTCTCGTATTTCTGCTCCGTTGCCGCACCGGATGCGCCAGAAGGGCGCCTGCAAACCATGTGTGACTGGGGAAACTGGGTGAGCTCTAGGAAATGATTCTCTCGGCTCATGCTATTGTGATGTGCCACTGTGCCTTCTACTAACATTTCCATCCAGGTCTTCCCCTTTGACGACAGTACGTTGCATTTATCGAAAAGAGCTTTTTTATATGGACCATATCTGACTGGCTTCCAGTGTTTGATTCCGGACATCTAAGATCCGACTTGGAAACATCGCGGCAAGTACTCGGCAGTCTCATGTCAAACATGCTGGGCAAGGGCTGTGACATTGGCACCAAGTTGCCAGTTGTTCAGGTCCACGATGATATTTTTAGAAGACTGTCAGAGGTAGGCCTTACGTTGAGATTCTTTCAAGACTGGCACCATTGCTGAGACCAATCTTTATCAACAGGGTGCTCCCATTGGTGTGCTCGACTCCTCCCCTTCCCCCGTACCTTCATGTCGCGGTTCAGTTACTGATGATAAAGCTATGCAGGGGTCCAGAGACGTTTAGCGAAATCCATGGAGTTATACGCTGAGGGGGTGGCAAGACACGTAGAGACCTTCACGAGCCACCGTATCCCTTCCCTTCAGGACATGCTGCAAACAAGACGGTTGTCCGTTGGAGTCGCGCCGCTTTACCACTTGGTCGAGTACGCACACTCTTTGCAGCTACCAGACGAGGTATTCGAGGATCCTGCGATTCAAGCTCTGGAACGCCTCGGGGCAGACTTCGTCATCCTGTCAGTCATCAGAATCATATACTACATAAACGCTATAAGGTTACACCATAGCTGACCCCCGTAGATAGAACGATATTCTTTCGTATCGTAAGGAAGAGGTGCGTATTTTTACTGAACCCGCGTTTGTCCATTCGATATGCATAGAGTAGAGTACTGATACTTTGATTGTAATTTGCACAGTCTGAAGGATGCCCCTTCAATATGGTTGCGGCCAGTCAGATGAATGGAAACTCTGCGCAAGAAGCTTTCGACATAGTTGGGTCACTGCTTGAGGAGAGCTACATCGAGTGGGATGAGGTAATCAGCCGCATGCCATGCTGGGACGTGGATGTTGATAGCGAAGTTGAGCGCTACATCAAAGGCATTCAGAACGTCGTCCAAGCCAACATCGGCTGGAGGTAAGTGGCATCCGTATTTCCCACATCTCTTTGGGTTCCGTGGGTCTTGGGCAGGCAGGCTCGATGTCAAATGACGCTGCTAACCGTGATGGCACCGTTGCAGCTTTCATTTGAAAAAGGACTTGGGAGCCGATGGCCCGCAGGTACGCAAGACCTGGAGAATCGACGTTCTGGTTAACCCTCCGTACCTATCAAATCCCGGAGAAGCAGACTATTGAGTTATCAACTGAGGCCAGAGGCCCTGCAAATGGTGATGCTTATGAAAGCGTGTCCAAATAGGATTTTCTTCGCATAATAGTAACGTTAAGATCACCGCCGTTTTCAAAATGTAATGTCTGAATGAAAACGCAGCCCGGTCGGATCTAGCTCTTATATTCAACCGAAATAAATCATACTCCAGAGCCTCTTGAGTGGAAGCAATATATTCGCTTTGGATGTATTCATTCATGCTATTTACATTCTTCCTCAAACTCTCTACCCTTGACTAAGTCACACGGTAAGGGATTCCCATGTTTCCAGTAAACCGTATCATGGCTCACTAGTGCGTCGCAAAGCCCTTGCCGGTAAGGTGTTGAATCTACTCTGCGTGTGTTCTCGTCATAAGAGATTCTAGTGGCTAAGAGTCAGAATAAATGATTTAATAGAAGTGGTATTTTGTCTCACTCACCTCACTGATGGAGCTGATCAGACTCGCTGCCAACAGGCCCCTCATCGCCAAGGCTGGCAATAGCAGGGCTTGAGTGAACCCATCTCGTTGTGACATCCGCTCGAGGCTGAATGGGTACAGCAGTGGCCGAGGCCATGATGACAATAAGGGGGAGAAGGATTTGGATGAAGTGCATTGTGACCCTGAAGACTGTATTACTTGAAAACAAAGAAGACTGGGCGAATTGAAATTCGAAAGATAAAAGCTCGCAGTCACTAGGAGCACAGTTTCTGGTTTATTATGATCATAGTAGATGCATAAGGTATGGGTGAGCTTTCTCATTTATGAATAGGCCCGGCAGGCTCCATCAGCCGACGTCAAATGCGGTTAACATCCATTCACATCCCGTCCGATGGAGGACTGCCGTGCTATCTACGACCAACATCCAATTCTAGAGATAAGGCGGCCCATCGTCGGGCTCATGAGTGACAGTGAGAGCTTGTATGCATCATAGACGTGCACTGTGGCCAGAAAAGGGAATTTGACAACGCGACCCACAGATAAAAGAAGCAAACTTTATGTTGTTAGCTAGGATGAGTCGCCGCATACGGCTAGTGGTTGTTTGTCGGATTTCTATCTGGTGACGTGGATTGGGAAGGTATCGTCAAACTCTCCTGACCGACTTTTGAGCAGAAACCTCATCAGTTGTGCCTAGGGAGGGGAATACACAGTGAACTAGCAACACGCGCATTGATTCGAGCGCTTTTCTTTTCCGTTGGGACTGTTGCCGAGGGCCGTAGACCAACTTCAGACATAACGAACATGGCCCCCTTGTCAACATGCAGGCTGATGAATTAATCTTCAGCAAACAAACATACGGAGTACGCAATCTTCACTCATCCACTGGTCATTTCAGAGGTTTCCCACAAGATGAACATCTAGAATCAAAGAGGACGAGCCGAAGAAACGCCGGGAACCCATGCTTTCTCTGGTTTTCGAAGCTATTTTGCTTCTCGACGATTCCAACAGTTGCCAGTTCACCAAATTCCTCAATCAGTAAGTTATATTGCTCCCTATCAAGCACTGTTGCCAGTGGCGCTGCTCAAAGCCAAATCTACAATGAACTATTCCTGTCTACCATCTTTAGCATGAAGCTCCACGACATCCCAGAGTACGATCCTCCATTGAATCAGACGCTGCCATAACGAGAGCCCCAAGACCGCGGGCCAGGTTCGACAGCGGTACTGAAACCGTGGGCTACACCCTTGAGCGGCTCTAATTGTGCATTGTGTGGTACCTATGGTCCTATTTGTGCGCGATTACTCTTTCCCAGAGAGGAGACCGCCCGCGCAACACGTCACCAGCAAACATAGCCGCGGCCCGTCCATGCAGGAAGCCGAAGCCAGAGGCTGTGTTTTCGACGTGATGGTCTACGGCTGAGTGCCGTTTCGGTGTCACAACTGCGACATCGCGAGCACGTACAACGCCTACAAAATGAGTCCCTGGGGGTTCGACAAGGACCTCGAGAGGCCGGCGCCGGAAGAGGTTCTCATGACGGGAGAGCGCGTGATTCTCTACACGGATCTCCGGCTCCATCAAGAGCACTGCTTCTACACCTGGCACAGTCTCCAGAGCTTCGAGCACCAGCACAGAGCATGGCATTGATATCCCCAGGGTATTGACCTAGGTCCAAGGGGAAAATGAAAGTTAGGTTTCGTAGCCATTTCCACGTATGGATTAGGAACGAATGAAGGTATCACGGGTTGTCAAACAAAATAGCAAGCAACAGACTCTCAGCCTCTTTACATATCTACCTAACAACACTCAACATGGAATCTAAGTATCCTGAAGTCATTGACAAACGAGAAACATGTGGATCGCCAACCCCTCATCGGTATTTTTTCAGAGTCAAAGTAGACAGTTGAATTCAGCATGGGTTTTCTTGAACTTCAAGTCCCGAAGTAGAACTCTATAGATAGAAATGGTTCAAAGACTTTTATTAATGGCATGTAATTTTTCAATTAAATTTGAAAGTGAAAGTCCTGTGACCTAGGCTTGAAAGGTCCTAGTGATTCTTGAAGTTATGGTATCAAACAACTGTCTCGTTATTCATTATTGATTATAAACTAAGAAAAAAAGAAAACGAAAAATCGATTCGCTAACGCCTTTTGGCCATCAATTACAGACATGAAATATAGGTTCGTTCCTGCTAGAACCCCTCCTCCATGCCTTGGTCAGGGCATCTCCGCCCGTTCTTTGATGGCCGGCATCTCGTGTATAGGTATGGGTATCGTTTCCTCGGGTAATTCAGCCAGCGTCGATTGACGTGGTGAACAGTAATATGTAGCTGTCGGCATTATCAGAGAGCTCATTGATCTTAGGGTGCTCATTGGACTCGGGGGAAATGGCATGAAAGTCCTACTCGAGGCTGAGCGGTGGTGACCACTATCCGACATGGTGGATGGATCGCAAAAGTGCATCTGACTGTGCTTGTCAACGTCGGGTAGTTCCGCAGGCCCGGCCTGCCAGTCATCTTCCACCTCGTCCGCGACTATTTCGCTGCCGCGTTTGCGAGCGAGGCGACGTCGCAATAGGATAAAAATGGCGAAGAGAGCCGACAAGGCGACAGCCGTAGAGGAGACGGCTATGCCGGCAATGGCGCCGTTACCCAGCGCTGGTGAGCTTGGCCCTGGTGCAGCGGGAGCATTGGTGGCGACAGATGCCGTGGAAGAAGTGGCCGAAGAAGTGCTAGAAGGAGTAGCGGAAGAAGTAGAGATGCTGCTGCCACTGCTTGCGATCTGCAAGGCAGACTCAGTGACTGGAATGGAGGTGGTCGTCGCATAGCTGCTGCGTAGCGGTGGCCTAGTCGGACTCGGCTTGCCGGGGGGTGGTGTGTAAGTCGCAGGGACCCCGCCGGTCGACCCCAAGGCACTGGGCGCATACATGGCGAGCACTCTCTTTCCCAGGTCTTTGCAATCGTTGATAGGTGGTAACGGCTGGATCTCAAATGGCCAGACTGACTGTGTCACCTGAGGCTGGTCAGGTTCAGTCGGGCAATTCCCGCCGCAAGTGTCGGGATGGTTGGAAGCCCAGAACTTCAGCTCGCCCTCGTTCGCGTTGTTGCATTGAACAAGACCAATCCAAGGGGACTTGGCTATACAGAGGCGTGTCAGTGTCGAGGTCTTTGATCATAACCAAGCAATACCGAACGGCGGAGTCAGGCTTGCTTACCTCTATCAAGGCCACCTTTGATGGGGCAGGTCTTGTCTTTGTATGTCGGGTCATTGCAACCGTACTGGTAGGTGACGCCAGACTTGCCGTCGTAGCAGGCCTGGTTAACGCAGAACTGACCGGCCATACAACACCAGCTAAAGCCATTGTCGGTCTCGTTTGCGGGTAGGCAGGGGAGCAGTTCCTGGGGGCCGACAAGGCCAGCGTCGTAGTAGCATTGGTCGTAGTTGGCCAAGACAGGGGAGAGCAGACCAAAGAAAAGCCAGGCGAATAAGAAGAAGCCGATCATGTTGAATTATGGTTGTATTCAAATGAATAGGCGAGAGTGGAAGAGTGTATGTAAGTGCTTCAGCCGGGCGATCAGTTATGACCCATACCCATCTCTAGGTATCGATGATCCAGTCGGTTACTAGCAATAGTAATAGTAATTATAGAAATAATTGGTTCTTGGAGCTTGAAGTGATCAGATGGTAGCAGACAAGGAAGATGAAAAAGATTGAGAGACTGAGACAGTGACAGTGACAGGGAGAGAAGAGAAAGCCGAAGATTGGGAATTTCTTGTGGAATAAGAGGACTTTGGATGTTTGATTGTGTTGTACGATGACTTCCTATTGAGGTAAGAAGCTGCGAGCGAGCACAAGGTGACGGGGAAGGCGCAGGGGGGGTGGAGGGAGAAGGGCCTAGAGCTTCCTTCAGCTTCCTGGTCCTTCCCATCCATACACTTGCAAGATACAAAACGCATATAATCGAAGCGCCACATGGCCTGGTGACAGAGAAGAGAAAAGCAAAAATCAAATCAAAATATTCTCCGGCTCCTTTCATCTCGCTGGCCTTTTCGCGATCATTTCCTTTTTCTCTCTCGTCCAACCTGCCGTCCTATAGCAAGGACACGGATGACAAGTGTTTGCTGCCACCAGCCCTGCTAGCAAGTCACACATATATAACACCAACCAGCGCAAACAAATCCATATCGAGCATTCCAACACGCCCTTGATTGGTTGACGACCGGGGGACAAGACTCCATGTTCTGTACAGCGTCGCCGCTCGGACGCACTGATCCGCCACGGGTGGGGAACAAACTGGGCCCTCGCGGCCGAGAAGCCGACGATGCCGTGCAGAAAGAAAGTAAGCAGAACTGTCTGGACTTACCCTCCCCCTTGCGTACATCCCCTTTGACAGCACCCAACATCAACATACATCGTACATGTTGAGACTACATGTAAGGCGACCATTGTGGGGGGTATCTGACCTGACCTGACCATTGCTGATAACCTGACCAGGGTGTGGGCCTGCCCGGATTAATACAATATTCCATTACCCGAACCAATCCCTAACTCGAATCTTAACCCCAACCCTAACCGAACCCTAGCCGACCCTATCCACTAACCCTACTTGGCTTAGTGCGTGCACGGTACCTTTGCCCCACTAATGGTCAGGTCAGGTCAGGTATCCCCCCCAATGGTCGCCTTGACTACAGACTCGTACATGTTAATAACTGACATGCTTCAAAACTAGGAGAGAGACGGCATGAAGAAGGGGTTCAGGGGCAAGGGGCAAAGGGCAAGGGGTAGCCGTCGACGAGTGCGGGGGATAGCTTGATCGATCTGCACTCGCCATATGGCCAAGCGTTCGTGGGCGTTGACAAACGGGTCCAAGCCAGACACCTCTGCCGTGCCGTCTACCCAATACCTTGGCTAGGGGACTTCTGAAACACACCAACCAACTCAACTATGTACGGATACTAATATACCCGACTTCTACTGCACAAAACACAGCAACACCCACCACACAGCAAAGCAAACCACAGTACAACTGCTGCACCACTTTTACAAATGCTCGACATGGACCCCGGTCGAGATATCAGCCACCACCATCTGCGACGGCTCTACGAGCTCCCATTCGCTCTCATTGAAGGTGCTCGGTTCGCTGGCCACCACTACGTGCTTTCCGTGGCTTGTCTTCTCCAGCCGGCCGTCTTCCTCGGCATCGCCGTCCCCCGAGCCGCTAATATCGCTTGGGAACCCCTTGTATTTGCGATTGAGCGTCGCCCCGGCCGTCGTCGAATAGTACAGGCTGGGCGGCTGCAGACCCTTCGGGCTGCCGTAACGCACCGCCAATAGCGAGCTACCGGACATGGTTACGAGGTTCAGCGTGTTAAACTCCCGCTCCGCCGGCCTGAACTCGGTTTGCATCTTTTCCAGCAGCACAATCGTCTCCCTCATGGCCACCGCCATATCTTTGGCATCGTACACCAACTCCCAGTTGCCGTCTTTGCCACACAAGATGAAAAAGTATACGGCGGCAATATGCTCGGCGTCCGTGGTCCCGACGATGGCCTGCTGGTACTCCAGTGGGAGGTACTGCAATATCGCTGTTCGTATTCTCGAAAACGAACCGAGGATGCCGTTGTGGGCGAACAGGTGTCAGCCAAAGACGAACGGGTGGCAATTGGTCTCGACCACGGGCGTCAGGCCCGGAGCCGCGCGAATGTGGGCGAGCACGGCGTTGCTGCTGGTTCCCCGGACGATGCTCTTGAGCACCAGATCATTGAGCGGTGGCCGGATGCTCTTGTAAACGACAGGCCGAAGCGACTCGGGCCACTTGGAGTCCCTGTACTGCTTGAAATCACACTCCGATGACGTGAACCACCCCACACCGAACCCATCCATGTTGGTCAGCGCGTTTGGCGAGCCCGCGTTGTTGGCCGCCAGTGGAGCGACTTGGAGCTCTCCGAGAGACGGCTGCACTCTTGTGTGGCCAGCGGGGAGGAAGTGCGCATCGACTACCATCCTTGGTTAGCAAACCGAGCGGAAATACACCATCGCTTGAACGTCATGCCGCTCACTCTGCTTGACTATGGCGTGGCGTGGCCGGATGACGACATCTTCGAGGAGCTGAGGCTCGTCGCCCAGATATGCGAACCAACGACACATGACAGAGTTGCGGCGGTCTATGGTGGAAAGAGAGGATGCGTTCAAGGTCTGATGGCAACCCTGTTGTGAAGGTGATGAAACTGGGGTGAAAGCAATGAGTGCACCTGTTGACCTTGATAGGAACTACATGTTAGTGGTTTGCAATGGCTATTTATTGTACGGATCCTGCGTTCAAAGCTCTCTTGAGTCTCACCCAGTAGCGGTGCTTTAAGGGTGAGGCTGTCAAATGTGGCAAAAGTACACGTGAATTCACTGTCAAATGCACGGTTGTGTCAACGTGGGCGAAATTGTCAAAGTGAGCGAAATGGTCGCACGTGCCCAGATCAAGGTGGGGCAATTGGCCGCAAATACGCCAGTTATTTCTTAGATAGATTTTGTTAAATGTGGCGGAATTACACGTGAATTAACTGGCGAATGCACGGTTGCCCTACGGCGAATTGTTGGGGAATGGGCGGTGAATTGGCCCCACTTCTAGTAGCAATTCCACCAATAATATCGCTAGGATTGGCCGGGGATTTCCTAACCAAGAAATAGGGGGTTTTCCCTATTTCTATAGTAATTCACTATAAATACATAACATAATAACAGAATTAATTAAGTAACTATTATAATCCCTACTATTTTAATAATTAATAGTCTAATACACATGTCTGTAATAACTAATATGCTTATCTACTAATTAAATACTATTATAATAATTAATAAGAACTATAATAATAAGGTAACTATCTTATAATTATATAGTAATTAGTTTATATAGCTTAACACTATCTAAGTAAAGGTAAAGCGTTATAATCTCTAGGAGTATATTAACCTAGAGGTTATAGTAGTAGACTAATTAATCCTTAAGATATATCTAAAGAAACTAATAAAGCTGCTTATAACATAATATCTATACGCCTTAACTAAAGATAAGCTTACTGCTTACTAAGAGGTTACTATAGCTATAGTAATTACTAGGATATCCTAGTAAGTAACTATATAGCTATATATAGTAAGAAGTAAGGCTATTATAACTATACCTAATAGGCTTATATATAAAACTAAATATATAATAACGCTAGATAATCTTAACTTATATAATCTTATGTACTTAAATAGTAAGATAAACTACTATTATAAGGAAGTATATAAGTATACTACTTAGTAAAAAGACGTTAAAGATATAGCTAATGTAGTTAAATCTACTATATCTATAGATCTTTAAGAAAGATATTATAAATCTAATAAGTTACTAGCTAAATAGCTTAATAAGCTTAGTGTAGTAGTAAGAATAACTAAAGAAGAGCGCATAAAGTACGCCTATAATAAATATAGTAAAGTGTTAGTAAAAGCCTAGTAAAAGGCCCTAACTACTAAGAAAGATCTTACTATATAGCTTAATAAATAGAATATAGCCTATAGTAAATTAGTATAAGTTAATTTACCTAACTACTAAAGGCTATTAATCTAGTTTAATAACCTTACTACTACTTTATAAAGTAGCTTACTTAGCTCCTAGCTAGATTTATATATAGTAACTAGTAAAATAATAAGTAATTAGAATAATCTTAACTAGTAGTCTCTTTATAAGATAGCGCTAGAGAGGGTTAAAGCCCTTACTAATAACTTACTATATTATAGCTAAGTAGGCTATAGTATATTTAGCCTAACTAAAAGTAATAGTAATAATAACTTAACGTATAGTAAAGATATAGTAAAGGAGAATAAATTAACTAATAAGAGATATTACTATTAATAAAGTGTAAGTAAAAAGGTAAAATACCCTATATGCTTTAATCCTTATCTATTATAACTTTATTACTTTATAAATAAGTTATAAAGGCTTAATAATTAGTAAGTAAATATATAACGTTAGTAATAAATTAATAAGTATATAGTAAGTAATCCTAACCTTACTAAATAAGTGTAAAGAATTAAGGCTAAGTTATATTAATTATATAGTAAATACTATATAAAGGTAGCTTTTTATACTACTTTATAAGGCTATAAGCTAGGTAATTTAGCCTTACTTAATTTAAGCACTACTAACTATATATTTAACTATATATTATAGTTTGTTATGTTAGTAGTAGCCCTAATTAGTAACTATATTTAGGCTAGTACTACCTAAGTTATAATTAAAGGATATAGTACTATAAAGATTACCTTAAAGGGCGCTAATAGCTTACTAATAAAGCTCTATATATATAATATAATATATTATAGTGTATTTACTATATTACTTATTTCTTTTATAAGGCTACGCTAGTAAGGTATATAGTAAGATATAAGCCTAGGTAATAATTACCTAAGGCGTATAGATTATAGCCTTATAGGCTATATTAAGGAACAAGCTAACTAATAAGTGCTTAAATATTATAGGTAATATAGCTATAGCTAAGAAAGTAAAAGCGCTTTTACTATACACTGTACTAATAATTTACTACTAACCTTATAAGTAAGAAATAAATATATAACGTTAATATAGTAATAACCGCTCTATAGTAATATAATAATATAGTATAAGCGTCTTAGCTACCTAGGTGCTAAGGCTCTATAAAAGATTATAAATACTACACGTAGAGTACGTCTAACCTAAGTTAACGCTATAATAATATAAGACTATAATTTATATAGTCTTAGTAAGATAAGGCAGTAGATTTACTACTAGCCTTATAAATCTATTATAAATATAGCGCTAGGTAATTACCTAGCGCTAGACTTTTATAATCTTAAATAAGGCTATATAGGATACTACTTAGTAATAATAATCTTAGATTAGGTAATAGGCCTTATATAGGATTTCTACCTATATAGCTACTACTAAGATACTATTAATTTAATAATAAGGGGCTTCCTTATAATACTAAAAACTAAATATTTAATTACACTAAAAGTTATTAAGGCTAACTAAGAAATCCTACGCCTTAGGTAACTTATAGATACGCTTTTTAATTATAAAATCTCTATTAAGCTATTAGTAGTAAGTACTTAGGCTTAAAATAGTAGCGCTAAGTAAATTACTTTAATTATTAAACTTAAGGCGTAATATATATAGATTAATATAAAATTACCTAAAGTCCTATAGCCTAAAATTATAACTATAGCTATATACCTTTATAATTAAACGCTATTAGTAGCTTAAAGGTAGAAATCTTTATATTAATTATTTTACTTATATTTTATACTTAATAAGTATACTAAGCCTTTACTAATAGTAAAGCTAGATCTTTTATATCTATAAGCCTATAGCTACTAAGCGTACGCACTAATAGTAAATATATAACTATTATAAAACTACTAGTAAAAGCTTACTGCCTATATATAGATTAGATTCCTTATTAGATATACGTCTAGTAATTTATATTACGTCTAGTATCTAGCGTAAAACAAGGTCTTTACTATATATAACGTAATATTTAATAAGAAATAAATCTTTAATAGATTAATAGATAGGTTACTTAATAAGCTTTATAAAGCTAACCTTATAGTAATTTAATAATAAATTAATAAGCTAATTATAGCTAGTAATTAATCCTTATTATATAAAGAAGCTAATAAAGAAATAAATAAAGTAATAGAACATACTAATATTACTTTACTAGGCGCTTTATAATTAGGTAATACACTAGAATATTTATATAAGCAGGCGAAATTTATACTTCTTCTTACTTTACTACTATTACTACTAAGCGCCTTTTTTATAGCTTTTATAGATATTAACGTAGGGGGTAGTAGAATAGGAACTAATAGTTCTAAATTAATTAATCTAATAGCTAATAGCTAAATACTTACTAATAGTAAAATAATTAATAGGTAAATACCTAAATTAATAGCTAATAGCCTATTAATTAATTTATTAATAGCCTATAGCCTATAAGCTAGCAACTTACTTAAGGTAATTAGAGCTAATAATAGTTTAAATAATTTATTAATAGCTAATAGCCTATAAGCTAGTAACTTACTAAGAACTAATAGTTCTAAAATAATAAGGATAGTAATCCCCTATACCTTATCTTATCCCTATATAATTAATTTATAAGATATTACTAAGTCTAAAAAGGTATTTAATTCCTAAGTAACTACAGCTAGCTTATTAGGTAATCTCTAGCTAGTAGTAACCTTATTTAAAGGCGTTATAAAAAGGTATTATCCTGCTATACATATAGGTAGTTAGATTATACTAAGGACTTTATTTAAGGCTGCTTTCCTTATAGGGCTTACTTTATAGTAAAAGATTATAGACTATATATAAGGCAGCTTATAGGTAATAACGTAGTCTAGTATATTATAAAGTTAACTAATAAGTAAAAATTACTACCTTTAGCTAAAGTGTACTTAAGGCTACTTAATTAACTATATAACGCCTAATAAGTATAATAATTATAAAGATGTTACTAGTAAATTACTAGTACGTAATAGAGGAGTTACTAAACTTTATAGGCTAATAAGTACGTATTAGAAGTTACTATACCCTTTACTAATTTATAAATAGTTAAAAAGCTACCTATATAAAAAGTAATTTAAAGACGCTAAAAAAGCGTATCTATATAGGCATAAAATATTAAAATCTTAAGTAATAGTGCTATAAGTAGTAGCTAAAAGGTATTAAATCCTTAGCTACTACTAGGTATATACTTATAAGCTAGATAAATATAGTTAATTAACTAAATTTAAAGTAAGACTTATTATCTATAGTAACTAATAAGTAAAGGATCTATAAGATACCTATATAGCTATATTAGTAGGTATGTTATTTAAAATACTTATAGTAATAGCTGCTTACTTTAATCTAGAATTACTTTAATATAATATAGTAAATATGTTTATTTACGCTACTATTAATAAGGTAGTATTTATAGAGATGCCTTTAGGCTACTAAATCTCTAGCTAGATTCTCTAGCTACTAAAAGCGCTATATAGGCTTTAGTAATTACTACTACTATAGTAAAAGCACCTTAAAGAAGGACTTACTATGTAGGGCTTTTACTAAGTGCTTAGTAA